GGTTTTGGGGTTTTTTTTGCGGGGGGGGTGGTAAGCACAGAAAGCTAGAAATTGTTTGCATGAATATATTCATCCACGCATCCTAATGTTGATACACTTTCACCAGCTCTATCATTTTTTTTCTGTTAGATCTTGGCATTTGTCACTTACAAGGGTTCTGTTTGTGTCATAAAATGCAATGATTATTTCTAGTTTCACTTCAGTAGTCCTACCTATTGCTTCCAGGGCCCAAGCATCATTTCTTTGGGTCCAGTACAAACTTGTAAGGCGGCCCCCCTCCACCCCCCCTCCGCACACACACACCATCCCACATGCATAAAATCTCATGAATCATGAAAGAAAATTTTCTATTTTAATTCTGAAATTACATTCTACATTGCTGACTAGTTTGTAACTTTTTGGTTGTTGGTCTTAATAATGGTATTATCTAGTTGATGTTTTGATTGTTTTGTTCTAGTAGACCAACATGGCTGCAAACATTTTAGAAATAGACCAATTCACTTTAAAGCTTTATTTTTCTGGCCTTTTTCATTGCAAAATCATGAATTCTCTCCCCAAAGTCAATTTCTCTTGGAAGTTCACACTCAAACAAAATAGCAAGGTGGCTTAACCACTCTTGTCCCATAGTCGAACACGTGCAGTTTTTGATGAGTGCTAGCTTGCTGAAACTTCTTTCAGCTTCTGCTACTGTCACTGGCAGTGTGCAAAAGAACCGTATGGCTATGCACACTTCACTGAAAATTAGTTGCAGTTGTTTTTCGTAAATCTCATTTAATAAGGTAAGTGGGGGTAGTTCATACTCTTTTCCAAAAGTAGATTTGAAGATTTTTTTCAGATGCAACATTTCACAAGGAAAATTCTCAGAAAGATCTGTAGGATACCTGTGAAGTAGACACTTAGAAGCTTCGTCCAGTTCCTCAGGCTGTGGTGTCGCATATTTTAGGAATGAACGGAATGTAAAACAATTATCATTGGTTGGTTTGAATCTGCGCTCCAATCCATAGATAATGTTGTCCAAAGTTGCATCAAGAACATTCCTTCTGAATAAAGATTCTGGATCATTTTCAGAGATGGTAGAACATGACTCCTCAGCTGTCATCATGAAATCTTTTCCACTTCTTGCCTCTCTTTTTTGGTAATTGTGGCAAAATTCCCATGCCTTCTGCTACAAGACATGCTCCCTGTAGAATTTTGGGCCACTGATCTCTAAGTTGTTTTACTTCTTCAATAATACCAGCAACAAGAGCTGCCTCTGATTCAAGAGAGATTCTCCTGGCTTGTAAAATCTTTTTTATGTCATCAATACTTGAAAAAACCTTGTGCCAGAAGCTAGCCAACCATTGGCCATGCATAGGGGGTGCACATGGGTGCACGTGCACCCCCGGAGATCGGCTGGAGCTTCCAGGGGGTGCACAGCTGCGAAACTGGAAGTGCCGCTGGAAGTACACTTCTGGTTTTGTGGCTGGCTCGGTGATCAGCTGCTAGCCCCCACCCCAGCAGTCTGATGTCCTTGGAATGCTAAACCTCTTGAAGCAAGATATAAGGTAACATCCAACAATCTTTCCAATATTTCTTTTCATCTTGCTGTTTCTGTTAATATTTGTTTTTGAACCCATGGGCGACTGGCATGTGCCTCCCCAGCAGCCAGTCAGCAACCATCTCCCTGGCTGGCGCTCACAGGGGGAAGCCAGTCGCCTAAGTGGGGAGCGCTGGCTGTGAGGGGGTGCACCAGCACTCTCAGGGGGTGCACATGCACCCCCTATGCATCGCCACTGTTTGAACCTCACTGTCCACTCCATGTCCACCTGACAATGACTGCTGTAATTCCTTCCGCTGGCAGTAGCAAGTTTTATGTTCTATGCTCTTTTCATATTCAGGAAGTTTATTATATAGCTTTTGCAATGTTTTCCACATTTGGTGAATACCCTTCACTTTTTGCCAGCATACTGCATTGTTTTCATCTCCCTTCAGAAAGTAACCGACATGGAAAGCAATGCAGTGCTTGATTGGTAGGACTCCAAACAAGCCAGTCTCTTGGTAGCTGTTCTTCATTGCAAGTCTTACATTTGAGAGGAAATTCAGGAAACTTATACCCATCAAGAGCTTTTGGAATTGACTTTGCTAACTTCCACATTTCTTCAAAAGTGAGGACACCAGATAGAACAAATTTTTGACGGACAGAATCTGTTATCAGTTTAGGCCACATGCCTGGGTCTTTGAAAAAGCATGAATCAGATAGTGTAGTACTACATTCTCCTGTTTTTTGTAAGCCTTCTTCTGAATGTAGTGGTGAACTGCTAATGTTGATATTACCCGACTGTCTTTTGAAAGCATTAGACTGGAGTCATGTGATGCATCTGGCAGCTTTTCTTCATCATCAGTTGCCACAGACACAGTCTCTATATTAAAATCATTTCCATCTTGCTTTTGTTCATCTACTTCCCTAGTTAGTATATTGCCTGAGCCAGACTGCAGAAAGGCCTTGTCTGTTTTGAAAAACCGGAGGATTGATTGGTGTCCTTTAGCTTCGTTTAGTTCCCTTTGTTTTACCTCCTTACATTTCTGGCTGCCTGATTCGTATTTCTAGCCAGACATGGTGTCAGTGTTGGTGTGAGAAGGAAATGTCCTTTCCTTCCAGGCAGTAGCCCTATCCCTGTTTCGGTTCTTCTCTGTGCAATGTTTAGACCACCAGGCCTAGCTCATTACTCACTTTTGGGCCTGTAAATCCTACCAGCAACACTGTGGTTTCCACTGTCCCTGGGATCAATGTCCCCGTTTATATGGTGCTTTGTCCCTCCCCTCCCCATCTATATGCACAAGGGACTTGTAGTTCCTGAGAGAGCATGTCACACAGGGAAGCATAAATCCCTCTAACTACAAGTCATTGGCAACGCATAGGGGGTGCACGCAGGTGCACGTGCACCCCCTGAGCTTGGTGGTGCACCCCCTGCAAAAAGTGCCACCAAAACTGCTGGCAGTGCCTGCAGGTGGTCGCTTCTCACCACCCCCACCCAGCCCGACACTGACGGCTGGCACTGACTGCAGGCGGTCCCCAATTGTCACCGGCCATTGACAATGTTGCCAGCGGCATCTGCAGGTGGTCGCTGACCGCCAGTCTGTGCTTGCAACCCCCCACCATCTGACCCCACCGCCAGGCTTGGTTCTTCCAGGCTGAGCACTCCCTGGTCCTCTGGAGGTCCCCTTGCGAGCTCCAGTTTGTCTGAGGGGATGGATCCGCCACTGCATGACTCCCTCTGCTGTCTTCCAACGCATGCCCTTCTCTCCCCTTTCCCCCCGCCCCGAGGCAGGAAATACCTCTGTTTAAAGGAGCTCTCCCAGCCAGTCAGGAATCTGGGATTTTTTCCGGGCTTGCTGATGGATCATTTTGTTTGCAAGCCTCTTACCCATGGCTTCCCTCTTTCAAGATGTCCCCACTGAGGCAGGTTGTCTTTTGCCCTTAGTAGAGCATCCCCAGAGGGACAAAATGCACTGCTCTCTATCGTGCTTTAGAAGGGACAAACCTCTGCTGCTTCGATCTACACTGTGTCCAGCATGGAGCACTCCTCTCCAAGACATGTGCACTTTAATGCTCATTACACCCATCTCAGACTAAACAAAATAGCAAAATATCAACAATGCCCCCTCTCCCCCTCCTCTTCTGTCCAGGTCAAGGGTTTCACCACAGTGCTTTATTGTTGCTTTTCTTCTTAACTTCCCTCCCTCCCTAGCATCATCTCTCTGGGAGCTTTTAACTTCCTCTTGATCTAGCCAGTCATCCACACCAGCTGGCCCAGAGCTCCACATCAGTCTTGGTCCCACCCTGGGCTCTCTAGCCCCATCCATCTCAGCCTCTCCTTGGCACCTGGGCTCTTGAGCCTCTTCTATGCCTCTCTTTGGGCACTGTGCTCTGCAGCCCCATCCATCTTGGCCACTTCTAGGTCCTGGACCAGGGGTGGTCAAAATGCAGCCTGTGGGCCAGATGCAGTCTTCCAGGCCATTCTAACCGGCCCACAGGTCCCCTAAAAAAATTAGAAAATCAATATGCAGCTGTCCCTGGCTGCCTGGCATGTGGCTCTTGATGGCTTGCCAAAACTCAGTAAGAGGCCCTCAGCCCAAAGCAATTTCCCATCCCTGTCCTGGACTCTCTAAACCAGGGTCAGCAACCCCCAGCATGCATGCCAAGCATAGCACGCAAGGCCATTTTGCTCGGCACACCACTACCAGCCCGGGCTCTAAGCAGCTGCTGCCAGCCACAGAGCCCAGGCTGCTCCCAGCAGGTGGCTAGGAGGCTGCAAGCCCTGCTGCAAGCAGACCAGGCTCCCTGGGCCACCTGCAGGTGGGAGACTGCAAACAGCTGCTCCGGGCTCCAGCATGTCAGCACTCCGGCACCTTTCAAGGTAGACATTGTGGGTTTTTTGGCACTCCGGCCAAAAAATGTTGCCTACCCCTACTCTAACCCCTTCTTTGGCCTTACTCCCAGGCCTCTTGCTCTGCTCCTGGCCCTGCTGGGACCTCCTCCTCCCCATAGTTCCCCCTGAACCACCAATTTCTGAGATTTCCACCTCCCCTTTGTTGGGTAGCAGAGGCTTCTGGGCTCAGCTTAATAGTACCAGCGCTTGGCAAGACACCGATGTATGTATTTGCTGCACACTTATTCTTAACTGCAATCAGCTGCAACCCAGCAGAGATTTGACAGACAGTTCACCCTGACTGTGACCCATCCTTGGCAAAGGGAAAGATCTTGGAATACCCTGGTTGGATGACCAAAATCAAAACAGGAATTGGGCCAACTAAAATAAGGAATTTGGCTTGGGAGAAAAGGGAAATTTAGCAATAGCAAAACTAACCTAAGAATAAAAAGGTATCAGCTACTAGAAAATTCCAGTTACAGATAATCATATACGGCAAGCAGAAATAGGCTTATTAATATGTATTGTAGGAAAGAGCTTATGTTGGTGTATTAATGATAACACAGTAATGATAAGGTATATAAACGACAGGAATTGGAACCCCTACTCAGAACACTCTGAAGAAAGCCTGAAGAGATCCTGTCATCAGTCCAAGATCCTGTCTTAACATCAGACGTAGGAACCAGGAGACCCGGACAAGATTTCAAGGCCTGATCAACCAGTAAAGCTGCGTTTACAATATTTCGGGGTGGTGAGCATCTGCCTTGACTAGCTACAAACCTAACATTTTTAACTGCTACTCCAATTTTAATTAGAATTGTATCTGTTAGGGTTCAATAAACTTGCTTTTAGTTTAGGATAATTGTGTCTTAGTCTCTTTGCCTGGTATAAGACCAATTATAGCATCATAGGGATGCAAAACTTTAGTCCCACCCTAGACCACTGGTGTTACCCTAGCCCTAGGGCTGTATTATCTACAGGCTTTCTAGATGTCAGTTAGGAGTCTCTCTTTGCAGTCTGCTCAGGAGCTCTTCTCACATCAGCCTCCAGGACCAAACTCCCTGCCCAGATCAGGACCTGGGCTTATATACAGCCTAAGCCTGGCCATTTGTGGTCAAGTGTCTCTCCTGACTGTGGACTGAGTTCTCCCTACAGCTTTTTTCCTCTGAAAGAAACAGGAGCATTAAGCTCACTTTTACACCATGTAACATTGAATGCTGGGAATACCAGTCTTATTTGGTCCATGGCTCACTGCCAAAGAGCAGGTACAGAGAATATTCCAAATGCTAGCTCATTACAATGAAACAAGCACTTCTGTGTGTTTTCAGGTATTTCTTGTCACTGTCTTCATTTGTAAAAAGCTAGGTTGGTATAATACTAAATTCTTTAACACTAGCTAATGAGGTAAATAGATCCTCCATTCTGGGTAACTGTAGCAGGTTAGCTCACAAAGACTTTAAAACACAATAGTCCTTTATTCTAAGGGCATGCCTCTCCCACAGGCATCCTTCTACATCAGTCAGTCCTCAAACACTGACATAAACACAGTCCATAAAGGATTAACTCTCAGGACCCCCCTGTGTTTACAAGTACTAACCTACAGCAAAGTTAATTAGTTTACTGTGTAGTGGGGCTGCATGTGTAAACAGACTTTACTGCAGAGCTAGTTAGGCAATGCTGCAGTAAATGTCTTGTGTAGATGTGCCCACGGCTTTGGAGATTACTCTCTCTTCAGACTTTTTGCTTCTTTGATTCAAGGTTCTGATAAAAGAGGTGAGTTAACTTTTCCAAAAGTATGGCTAACTTTCATTTTGGGACAGAAGTTTCTGGTTTTCGGTTTGTTTGTTTTTTAAAACAAAACATTTTTATCTTTTGCCAGTACAAATTAATGTCAGCCATTTTCTAACAGCTAATTCACACACACTTGTTAAGCAACGCTTCCTTTAAGCTGTGCAGCCGCACAGGTGCGCTCATCGTGCGCTGCCAGGCACACCTGCGCAGCTGTGCACACCATGCAGTTTAGAGGAAATGCTACTTATAAGTGCTTATGTTTAGTACATGCCATTTACCATTATGTATTATCTTCATTAAAATAACAGCTAGTATAGAATCATAGAAAATTAGGGTTGGAAGGGACTTCCGGAAGTAATCTAGTCCAACCCCCTACTTCAAGTAGGACCATTCCAATTAGATCATCCCAGCCAAGGCTTTGTCTACCTGGGTCTTAAAAACCTCCAAGAATGGAGACTCCACAACCTCTCTGGGTAACCTGTTCCAGTGTTTTACTACCCTCCTAGTGACAGTTTTTTCCTAACTTCTAACCTAAGCTTCCCTTGCAACTTGAGACCATTGCTCCTTGTTCTGTCATCTGCCAGCACTGAGAACAGTCCAGCTCCATCCTCTTTGGAACCACCCTTCAGGTAATTGAAGGCTTCTATTAAATATGCAAGTATTTCCTCTCCATACATTTTAATACTGATGTTTTCTGCAACTTCACCTCTACTAGTAGCTGCCAATAATCTTGCTGTGAAATTACAGAAGCAGCAAACCTTGTAACAAGCTCCATTTTAAGTTGTATTTCTTTCACTAGTAAAGAAATCCAAACTCAGCTTTGTTTATAGTTTTCTAAATTAAACAATTACAGGGGTACTATAACATTCCCAGCAGAGTCCAGGTTGTTAGGTACCAAGTAATAAATATGAAATCCTCTCTGTAGCCCTCTGGAAGTGATTGCTCTGTTTTTTGTAAGGACAAGTTTCCTCATTTAGTACAATTCCTACAGGGGTTGCCCTTGAGTGAACAATAATTTGTATTCCAAAATTCTCCCACAAAGAGAACACAGAGGGTAGTAATCGATGGAAGTCACTCATCGTGGTGTCCTGTGACCAGTGGGGTCCCCCAAGGCTCTGTCCTTGGACCCATACTGTTCAGCATCTTCATTAATGATGTGGACACTGGAGTCAGAAGCGGACTGGCCAAGTTCGCCGATGACACCAAACTTTGGGGCAAAGCATCCACACCAGAAGACAGGCAGGTTATCCAGGCTGACCTGGACAGGCTCAGCAAGTGGGCGGACGAGAATCTGATGGTGTTCAACGCTGATAAATGCAAGGTTCTCCACCTTGGGAAAAAAAACCTGCAGCATCCTTATAGGCTCGGCAGTGCTATGTTGGCTAGCACTATGGAAGAAAGAGACTTGGGGGTCATCATTGACCACAAGATGAACATGAGCCTGCAATGCGATGCAGCGGCTAGTAAAGCGACCAAAACGCTGGCTTGCATCCATAGATGCTTCTCAAGCAAATCCCGGGACGTCATTCTCCCCCTGTACTCGGCCTTAGTGAGGCCGCAGCTGGAGTACTGTGTCCAGTTTTGGGCTCCACAATTCAAAAAGGATGTGGAGAAGCTTGAGAGAGTCCAGAGAAGAGCCACACGCATGATCAGAGGTCAGGGAAGCAGACCCTACGATGACAGGCTGAGAGCCCTGGGGCTCTTTAGCCTGGAAAAGCGGAGGCTCAGGGGTGATCTGATGGCCACCTACAAGTTTATCAGGGGTGACCACCAGCATCTGGGGGAACGTTTGTTCACCAGAGCGCCCCAAGGGATGACGAGGTTGAATGGTCACAAACTACTTCAAGATCGTTTCAGGCTGGACATAAGGAAGAACTTCTTTACTGTCCGAGCCCCCAAGGTCTGGAACAGCCTGCTACCGGAGGTGGTTCAAGTGCCTTCATTGAACACCTTCAAGATGAAACTGGATGCTTATCTTGCTGGGATCCTATGACCCCAGCTGACTTCCTGCCCTTTGGGCGGGGGGCTGGACTCGAAGATCTTCCGAGGTCCCTTCCAGCCCTGATGTCTATGAATCTATGAAAACCTAGGGCTGGATCCTACTCCACTTACTAGACATCTAAATGATATTTAGACATCAAAGTCTCTTAAGTATGATCCTATTCCACTCTGCTCAAGTCACTGACAAGTTATTAATGTCAGTTAATATTAACTTTTATAGCATACCTTCATTTTAGCTTTAACATTAAGATACAAAAAAGATGGAGTAAGAGGGAGGAGGAACCGCCCACTTTGAATCCCTGAAAAACTGTTAACCCCCAAACAGAATGGAATAGGACCTCTGTGTCTCTTGGGTGCCTAGACATGGACTAGGATGGAACATCATGTCCATGTCATGCATTCTGCTCGACTCCCAGTTGATATGTAGCATAAGTTATATAATGCTGTTGCAGCTCCCTGACAACTTCAATAGCTGTTTCCACCCGTGCAATAATTTCTACTGTACGTTGTGGGACCATATCAACCTCACTCAAGAGCTGTTTTAGGTTGTTTCATATTGCTTGCTACACCACAACCTGTCCTTTAATGCAACTTTTAAACTCAAGGGTTCATCGTTGATTTCCTCAAAAGATACTAGTGAAGATAAAAAGACTTAGAACACCTCAATCAAATTTCTCACTCTTTCACAATCTCCTTTGTGCCATCTGAGAAACTGGTGTAGTATGAAGAAGACCTAGAAATGCCATAAAGGAGGATTATTCAAGTGCAAGTCCTGGTTTAGAGACTGTATTAGGGAGAGGATGTGGGTGGGGGAAAACATAATCATAGGATCACAGAAAATTAGGGTTGGAAGGGAGCTCAGGGGGTCATCTGTCCAACCCCCTGCTCAAAGCAGAGTCATCGTCAATTAGATCATCCCAGCCAAGGCTTTGTCTACCCAGGCCTTAAAAACCTTTAAGGATGGAGTTTCCACAACCTCTCTGGGTAGCCTGTTACAGTGCTTTACTACACTTCTGGTGAAAAAGTTTTTCTTCGTCTCTAACCTAAACTTCCCTTGTTGCAACTTGAAACCATTACTCCTTGTTCTGTCATCTGCCACCACTGAGAACAGTCTAGCTGTATCCTCTTTATAACCAGCCCTCAGTAGGAAGGCTGCAGCATGCAGCACTGTGGAGATTCTCAGCAGTGCTGTGGTCCATATGGCAACCCAGGGGACTGATGAAATTTAGATGGGCCTCTAGGCTATATTACTCCAGGACTCCTTTCACTGGGGCAGCCCATAACCAGGAGGGCAAAAATGCAACTTAAAGCCACCACAGTCCACCATCTCCCCTATGACACTGCAAGTTCTATGTTGTACTGTTTAGAATTCCATAACCTTAATTACAATCCTAAATTTAACACCAAATGGCATGACTACATGGTAACGATTTGATGATCCTGTCCCAACCAGTTACAGTGGGCTAAGAGAAGAAAAATAAAGTTCTCTTAATAAAGAGTCCCATACAGTACTTTCCAATAATCCCTAAACATTACTTTAAAATGTTTTTGATTCACTAAAAAGAGAAACATTTAAAAATATACTAATACACACTACAAGACACAGGGGACACTGTGCTACTCTTTGGACTACATCCACTACATAAAAATCCAGTTCTTCCATCTAAAATGACATAGGAATGATCAGACACATGCATTATTTCATCAATTTTAGATTATAGATAGTTCAAGATGACAAAGAAAAAGTGACGCTAAGTCAAAAATAAAGTCCTGCTGACAGGACAAGGTCGAGAGGTAGTACAGAACTTTTGTCCCTTTACATATAAATCTACATACAATCAAGAATCAGGTTTCTTTGTGACTTTGAAATAGTAAACTAAGAAGTTGTACAGAGCCGGCATGAGATAATCCATATGTGAATACAGATTGTCACTTCTCTATTAAATAATGCAAAGCTGACTTTGGAGACTTCAGCAAAGTTATTGCTGAAGAGCCTTATCCTGTCAGCCTCTCCAGCCTCTCCCTTCTTTCA